GAGATATAAGTTTGAGGATAAGGATGAGCATGACACATAACGAAGAAAACCATCCATGCTGGAAACCGGGTCCAGCATCCCAACCCTTTGTCTGACTGAACCAAAAAACAGGAGTCTGCCTGTCCATCCACCATGCCAGATGCCAGATCCTACCTAGCAAACTAGCAGCCCCTGTCCACCTTTCCAACCCTTGGCCTGGCTCGGATAACGGTTGGGCCCACTGGGGGGGCACCAGTGGGACCACTTTCCGTCTCCTTGCTCGCCTCCAAAGCCCCTCTTTTTTAAACCCAGGCTCCGATCTATCGTGCTGAGAATCGGGCTCAGCCGAAGAATGTTACTTAAGACAAACCAAAACACTGGCCCACGGGCCCAATGTCCCTGCACAACCAAAGTTCGTCCTAAAGTACATTGGTTGCTGGAAACCGGGTCCAGCATTCCAAACCACCAACCGCTGAGGGACACCAGTTACGCTTTGCCTGCCACAAATCCTGCTGATCCTCTGCTGGGCCTAGTGGTAAGGGATCCGGGAAGTCAGCTGGGGGCCTCAGTGGGAGATCCGGGCCGATTACCACCAGTCCCAAAAATATAGCTCTAGTCCCTGGGCATCCCCTCCCCCATTCCCCCCTCCTCCCCTCCCCTCGGGCTCTCTCCTCCCCTCCCCTGGCCTCTCCTGGGGGATGTCCCCTGACCAGTTTACCGCAGCCATCCCTCCCCCCTGCTGCCACCCAGCCATTCCACGCAGAAAAGAGTGATGATTTTGTCAATGTCTGGCCTGGCATGCACAAACCTCATTTTCTGTCTGACTGCCTGCCACTGGTTGGTGATCTCTGCCTCCACCAGATGTCTAACCAGATCTGATGCTTCCCCGTCTTCTTCTCGAGCCCCTTCCATGTCCAGGGTGCACCTTTGCCACCAAATCGCCCACAGGACAGCCCGTCTGCCCAGCCGGAACAAGTTTTATGTCAGAGGGTTTTGTGAGCATTGTGGCCAATGTCCTGTCAGCAACGCCCTCCAGTCCCAAGGCCAGACGGAGCCCACTGTCTATCTCCATATTCGATCCCACCATCGCCATAGTAGTACGGACGAGGGGCATTGCAGGAAGAGGTGCTCTATTGTTTCCTCTCTCTTCCTTGACAGGTAATTTGGCAGACATTTCTGACATCAACGTAATGCCCGTCCCTGCTGTTCCAGCTTTTTTTCTTTTTTTTGTCTGCTGGAAAGTGGGAGCTGTGTCCCTTAGAGATAAAAGCTCAATAACAATGTAGTAGAGGTTTTACATATCGCAGAGTCACCACATTGCCAATGCACACCTCATGTGTGCAGCAGACCTACCTCACTCCACTCAGTCTGTCTAGGAGCGTACGCTCCCTTCGAAATATATACTCCAAACTACCCACTAAGCTCGGGAACTTCGTGTTTCCACGTTTCCCCGATGAACAAATTTCGAAAAACAAAAAACTTTAAAAAAAAAAACACAAAAATTCAAAATCAATTTACGATATCACAAAATGTCGCACTTCGCTTCAAGTCAGGAGATGCAGAAGGCGCGGAAGTAACTTCCTTCGAGTGAGAAGCAAGTCAGATGGAGTCTGATCCTTCATGCTGTCGCCTGGTGGCACTAGCCATCCTCCTTTGTTCTTCGTCCTTGAGGCGAAGTTCTCGGCGTGGATATCACTATCCGATCGTCTATTTATCACTGTCCTGATGCTGCGGATCCTGTCATATGTGGGTCTGATGTACCCATGTCACTTTCTCGTCCAGATTCAGTTGGAAGGGCTGATGTACCCATGTCACTTTCTCGTCCAGATTCAGTTGGAAGAAAAAGGACCCTCATCCTCCGGCCATAGAGCCTCACGCTCCTGGTAGATGCACCGTCCCTGGACCGAGTCCCTGGTGTGGTGTCGATCGCCCTTTGTCTTCTTGTAGATTTGTTGCGTGCAGGTCACAGGTCATTCACGCACACGCCATTACGGGCCATATGGTCCCTGGATTGAGCCCTTGTGCACCCTAGTTCTGTCGATTGTCCTTTGTCTTCTTGTAGATTTGCTGTGTGCAGGTCATTCACGCACACACCATTACAGGCCATATGGTCCCTGGATCGAGCCCTTGGTGCACCCTGGTACAAGTTACTCCCAGTCACGGTAGCATTGTTGAAGCTTATAGGTCATTTCTGGCCAAATCCCACCCACCCTCCCAGACATACGCCTTAGTGCTTCTATAATTATTCTTGTAGGGAAATCCATGCCTTTCAATTCTCTATGTCGTGTGATGAGAGAAAGGGGGAGGAGCGCATCAGTACTTGTATTTGATCTGATTCGGTGTAGTGTTCCAATTACCGTGGCTATCTTCTGTTCGATTGAGCCAAAGGATTTAAAATTTCTCGTAATCATTTATTTAGGCTTGGTTGGATCAGCCCAAATACTTTCTGCATTCTTGAAATTGTGCATGCATATTAGCTCTGTTGGATTATCAAGAACGAAGACCTTTTGTCTCCAAAAATTCAAGGATGTTAAGGTCACAGTCGGTTCTTTCTAATCTGAGTTCTTTGTGATAGCAGCTAGTAATGCCATCCATTGTCTTTTTGATTGAATCCTTGTGTGTCTGGCTTCCTTTTTTGTGTAATCCAACGATCATCAGGCCGTCAACATACCTTTTTCCGGTTAAGTATCTTGTGTTACTTCCGATCGATCTTGCGAACTTATTTTCCGCGTACATGCAGATGAGGGATGCCAGGGGAGGGCTCGCTTGTCCTCCCATTGGTATCCCTCTGTTCTGTTTGAGTATATCTCCCGCGGATTTAAAAATGACGTTCCTTAGGAGGAATGCAACAATTCTTTCTAGATCCTTGAATCTGGTTGACTTCCATCCAGGTTCGCTGGCGGATTTATATAGTGTCGCTCCTTTGCCTCTGTTCTTAACCCTTACCCAATGGTGTCCTGCTGTTCTAAACTCAGAGAATATCCATTGGATAGCATCTTTCACTTCTTCGTGTGGAATTCGTGAGAACATTTCCTTGATATCGTACGTTCGTACTATTATCGCAAGGTTCTCATTCTTGGCTCTTGAGTTTATTCCCTGCAAAAAGTGCTTCAGGTCTTGCCCTGCCATCAGGTTGAAGTGCCGCCGTCTGCATTTTCTTATCATAAGGTTAAGTGCTTTGACAAGTGTAGCACCGACAAATCTCAATGAGTTGGCAAAGGATGGACAGATGGGGCGCTTCTTATCCAAGTCTTTGTCCTTGCTCATGATAAAGGCATCCTGGGTTTTCCCTTTTCTATCCCAATTGCCAACTTTGTTCAGTTTTTGGTTATCAAATTCTTCTTTCATTCTTCTTAGGATCATTCCTTCTGTTTCATTCAACTTCTCAAAATCTGGGTTGTCATTGAATGTCTTCCTCAAACCGTCATGATACAATATTGGACATTCGATTAATGTTGCCCCTGGATTTCGATCCAAAGAAGACATTACTAATCCAGTGAAGGCATGCTTCACTCCGTACACATACTCTGATGTGATTGCTCCATCTGAGTTTATTGCTCCCGTTCTTGTTATTTTTGTTGGTGACACCCGAAAATCATCCGTGATTCCAACTTTCTTCAGATTAACCAGGTCATTTCTGCAGGCGTTAGTGATAGAGTCCAAACATGCAATTCGTCCGGGAAAGGGGACATTTCGGGAGTTGTGTAGGAAGGGATCAATCTCTTCGATCTCGTTTAATCTGACCCATACATGCCCGTTATACTTGGGCAATTCGAACCTCTGACAGGGGCACTCTGGAACTGGTCCAGAGGCCACTGTCCTATGGTTATGCAAGATGTCTGAGACTGATCTAGCTTTTGTCCAGACCACTCTCAGTTTCTTCTGCATCAGGTCTGCGAGTTCGCAGGGACTAACCTTATCCGTGATCCAGTTGCGTGCTTCGTTCTCAACACATTTCTTATCGATCGATAGGCAAAATGGTATTTTGATGACCATTCATTCTCGCGGGTTTATACCTAATCTCTTCTTTATCTCATTTGAGATTAGACTGCGAATGATATGCCTGCCTCTTTTTGTGTTAATGCATTTAAGGCCTTTCAACATGTTGAGTAGTTGTACGAGGTTGTTTCCAGTTAGAATCTCTTTACGTTTCCAAGGTGCCCTTAACAAAGCAATGAGTTCAGCCTTTCTTTTATCTGCTGCAGATGCTGTCTTGACGAGACACGTTAGTTCGAAATTCCCCCCTTCCTCAAAAAGTGCTTTCATGTCTTTCAACAATATCATACCATCGTTAGTTCTGAATTTGGATTCCCCATACACCAGACGGATCAACCTCCATGATGACATCCACTTGTTGCCCCCTGAACAATGGATCAGAACTGGTCTATGTTTACCCTTTGATTTTTTCAGAATATTCATCAGGTTCACTGTTTCCGTATCGGGAAGATCAGAGTTAAAGGAGATGGGTTGCCACACTTGGATAGAGCTCGTTCTCTCTTTCTTCTTTCTCGCTTTTCTGTGCTTCCTATTTGGTTTACACTTCCTTTGATTTAGGCCAGGGTTCTCGCTGTTAATGATTTTTGTTTCCATCATTTTCAATTCATGCTGTGTGCCAAACCATAATGGAATGATAGTGTATGTCTCCGATCCCACTTTCTCCAACCACTTATGAACTTTATATACGGGATTGAGCGAGCATCTCGAGTGTTCCCTCCATCGTTCAACAAGCCTTCTACTAGTCTAGCCTATATATGTCTGTTTACAGAAAGGGGAGACGAGAAGGTACACACACGATCCAGTATTCTCAGTCTCGGAGAATCTCTCCAGGTCCCAGTTGACCTAGTACTTAATAAAGGTCTGGCCCCATTTAGCGAACCCCAGCATAATTGCGAGAATAGTTCCGATTTGAAAGGCAAATTCCAAATCCCGCTTGGTTTCTCCTTCGTACGTTTTGATCGCATTGCAGATTCTTCTTCGAATGCGGAGCAAGCTTCTCTGAGAGAGAGCTAGTTCCCCGGGACGACTTCGTTCTCTTCCTCATTGTCGGAGTTGTTGCTTTCCTCTTCTTCTCCTTCTTGGTCGTCTCCATTGTTGTCGCAGCCGTCGCCATTCAACAGCTTGGTGAATTCTTCAGTATCTTGCTTCGCCAACTCCCATGCACTCTTATCTTTCCTTTCCCACTTAATATCCCTCTTCGCACAGAGGCTTTTACTCTTTTTGCCGGTCATCTCCATATAGTGGTCTAGCCTCTGCCTCATATATTTCACGATCCCTACCTCTGAGCGCACCTTCCCACCTCTATTCATGACTAGCTTCTCTTCTTCGTTCTCCGATCCACCACTGCTGTCCTCTGTCGACACGTTGTTCGTCGTAGTACTGGACTAGTGCAGATTTCTTTCCCTTTTCCTCTCCCTTTCTCTTTCCCTCCACCCCTTTCCATTTCTTCGCCTTCTCTTCCGTTGCTGGTTTTCCCAGCTATCAGCGCGAGCATGCGCATGACGTCCTCGAGTTTCACTTGCCCATCCTTCTCCTCCTTGATGGGTGGCGCGCCCTCGAATGTGGCCTTCTGCGCGCCTGTGCGACCTTCTTCCTCGTCGGAGGAGACATTGATTCTGGGCTGTCTGATTTTCAATCCGCCGTTTCTCGATCTGGACCTTGATCGTAGTCATTCTGCAGGTGAGTTAATGCCTACAACCCTCTTTCCCTTCTCATTACTATTAGACTCGTTCTTCCTTGGTATTGCTTCGAGTTCCTCTATCTTCTTGGCGAGCTTCTCTTGTTGGCGGTCGGCCTCCTTCGTCTTCTTATCGACTACGTCCAACTTTTCAGCGATCCTCTTCAGAGATACCCCGAAATTCTCCGCCATCCAAGTCTTCAAACTCTTTTCTCCATCATCCGTGCCGACACACGCTTTCCCCTTTGATTTCTTCGAGCCACCACTCTTATTACTCTCCCCCGATTCTTCTCCACCTTTCTTCTTCTCTTCCATCACATCTCTGTTCCTCCATTTCTCGATCAGCTCCAGGTGTTGCCGTGTGAACCAAGCGCGGTTGCCTGGTGCCGGGAACATGTTGGCAGCAGGCTTCGATGGTTGAGAGTAGCCTTGGCCATAGTATACGGCTTGCGGTGGCGGCGGCGGAGGTGGTGGAATCCACGCATAAGGATACTGTATCTGCGGAGGAGGTAGATATCCAGCAGGTTGCTGGATCTAGCTATGCCCGGATAGCGGTGTCGGCTGTGCAGGCGCTGCCGCAGGAGTCGTTGCTGGTGGGGTTTGGTACTCCATCCAATACCGTCTGTCCCCGGACCACCTCCCCCTTGATCGTCCTCGTCCTCGTCCGCGACCTTGCATACATGTCTCCTTGGGTCTCTTCTAGCTGCTCCTGGTACCTTGGATCAGACGCCTTCGTCTTCACTCGACTCGCTTTTCGGAAGAAAACCTTCGCTCGCGTACTGCTCTCAGCGACGTTCCCGAAGTAGCGTCGTCTGGCTCGACATAACCATGCTGGACTCCGATGCAGAGTCGAGGCTCAGTTCATCAAGTCGGACGCAATCACGATATTGATGATAGTATAGATGATGACGAGATAAATAAATAAATAGATGCTATATAAGCATAATTGGTGTGAGTAATGCACATATCCTCGCGTCTTCACAATACTTGCAGTAGGTGAAGTAGCAGCAACAGATTTGGCATCGGGCGAGCGGTACTATGCGCGACTGCCAAGTCGTTCGCCAGGATCGAATCAGAGATAAAAACTCAATAACAATGTAGTAGAGGTTTTACATATCGTAGAGTCACCACATTGCTAATGCACACCTCATGTGTGCAGCAGACCTTCTACCTCACTCCACTCAGTCTGTCCAGGAGCGTACGCTCCCTTCGAAATATATACTCCAAACTACCCACTACGCTCGGGAACTTCGTGTTTCCACGTTTCCCCGATGAACAAATTTCGAAAAACAAAAAATCGAAAGAAAAAAAAAAACACAAAAATTCAAGATTAATTTACGATATCACAAAATGTCGCACTTCGCTTCAAGTCAGGAGACGCAAAAGGTGCGAAAGTAACTTCCTTCGAGTGAGAAGCAAGTCAGACGGAGTCTGATCCTTCGTGCTGTCGCCTGGTGGCACTAGCCGTCCTCCTGTGTTCTTCGTCCTTGAGGCGAAGTTCTCGGCGTGGATGTCACTATCCGATCGTCTGTTTATTGTTGTCCTGATGCTGCGGATCCTGTCATATGTGGGTCTGATGTACCCATGTCACTTTCTCATCCAAATTCAGTTGGAAGAAAAAGGACCCTCATCCTCCGGGCGCTCCTGGTAAATGCACCGTCCCTGGACCGAGTCCCTGGTGTGGTGTCGATCGCCCTTTGTCTTCTTGTAGATTTGTTGTGTGCAGGTCATTCACGCACACGCCATTACGGGCCATATGGTCCCTGGATCGAGCCCTTG